CGTTCAGAGGGCTGGCCGAGAGTTCACCGACATCTTACGGACGCCCAAATAAAATATCTCACAGGCTTAATATGTGGTCGTGTTGTGGAGCCATGCAACGAGCAACAGCCAATGAGGGCAGGAGCAGACACTCTCTCTAGCAGCAGACAGAAAGTAGCAAACCGGGCAGTTACTTAGGTAACAGCCAGAAAAGAAACTGTCACACACACATAATAGACAGCAAATAAATAGTGCTATCAGCCAGTGTTTAATTCGGTGTGTATCTGATCTACCAACCGGCATCTATTTAAATAAAAAATCCTCGGCTACAACAGAGGCTGAACGTACTGAGGCGACAAAGTGTAAAGTTTATACAGAATACACTTCATCTTTATTAATTATATTGATGCCGAATTAACCAGAAGACTGCTGTCATATGACAAACTGTTAATATGTAGAATTTTTAACATTTCTGTCACCTCTACTGAAATACTAGGTAATAATTTGTCTGATGTTGACAGCTGTTAGTCATTAGTTTGATTAATGGCTTAATATTGATTACGTACTTGCTGATCAGGCTAATTAGCAGCTAATTATACTCAGTTTCTAATGTCTGTAAAGGGTTGCCCTTGGTATGCATCTTTAAACTATTTTCCTTATTAAACTAGGGCTGCAGCTATTGATTAATTAAGTAATTGAGTATTCTAGCAACCATTCCATTGATTAATCAAGTAATTGAATAAGAAATTGAGTATTTTAAATTGGTTTCAATGTTTGCTTGAGGACCTCTTTCCAGCTGAGGAAGGAAAGTGAGTGCAACCATTGTTAGGTTAGACTTTTCCCTTCATTGTTTGTTTTGTTGAGTTTGCAGCAGTAGTGACACTAACCTACCAACAGAGCAAAGCTAACAAGATAAGCACACACACACACACACACAAATACACTCACTTAGGCCTTCCCCTCCACATTTAGATAACCTTCCCTCCTTTGCAGGGTTGGGAGCGATTTACCCAGCACTGAGGAGGAGGAGGAAGAGGAGGGTTTCATACATCGGTGCTATCTCATCATGAAATGGCCTTTTGTGTATTTGTGTGTGTGTGTGTGTGTGCTTGACCTCTTAACTCCAAATAGTCCATCAAACGGGGCGAGTCAGCCATCGTCTGGATGCAGAGGCTGCAGGAGACACTGAGACGATGTGTGTTCATAACTCACACAGAGACAGAATATCATCCATAACTGAGCAAACACACACAGGGGGCAGACCTCGGGGTTAAGAAGGGGTAAAGACTGGAATCCACAGGGGCTTTACACCACGTCAACATGTACTGATGGAATACACAGATGTCCTGTGGAAAGTATGAATGAAACCGTTCTCCCTGCAGATTTCACCTCCAGAGGTGGATGACATGAAGGAGATACAAAGAGAATAAATATTTATAACTAATATATAATGAATTTAACTGTGAAATATTGGTTAAAGTATAAAACTAGGTTTGTGTGCTCTCTGCAAGCCAGTGTCTGTACTCTGCCAAAGATAGTTCATGAGGAAAAAGAACGTCACTCTGTAACACCATTGTACAGTGGTGAGTGGTCTTGAAAACTCCAGACAATAACAAAGTGATACATCTTCTCTCTAATCACTTTTTCTCAGTTAAAACTTCATCCACATCAGTAATTTTAAGTTTATCAATTTAAAGCTCCAGTGTGTAACATTTAGGAGGATCTATTGGCAGAAATTGAATATAATATTCATAGGTATGTTTTAATTAATAACCTGAAAATAAGTGTGTTTTTGTTACCTTAGAATGAGCTGTTTTTACCTACCAGAGGAGCGGGTCCTCTCCCTAAGGATGTTGAACTGCCATGTTTCTACAGTAGCCCACAACAGACAAACCAAACACTGGCTCTAGATGGGGCCCCTTGTGTTTTTTCAAGTTTCGCCCCACTGTAATTTCTCCTACATGCGTGGAAGGTGAGAATGCAACCAGCTGAATACCTGAATAAATTTTTTGAAACTTTTATGTTGGTTCTCGCAGCCAACAACAGAAGAATCGTGTTATCGGATCAAGCGAGTGCGTACCCAGCCTCGGTTGGTGTTTGGTCACGAATTGCCTCCGATTTTCAAAGGCTGAAAAAAGGGTCTTGCTAGGACAAATTAGCCCTCCTTCGCTCTAACCAAACACTCCTCCAACACGACACGAGCCAGATGCTCGGCCATTAATCACAGCATTGTGTGTGTGTGAGAGCCTATGCAATGTGACTGGCCGTGCTCTTTTGTCAAGCAAGTGTTAACAGTGTGTTTGTGTGACTGCTGCCCCTAAAATCAGTACGGGAGCGGAGAATGGAAAGTTGGCACAGAAAGGAGAGAAGTTGGAAGATTTATATGTAAGGGAAGCGTTTAGTGAAAAGGACGAAGGAAGAGTGGATGAATGGGGATGGTGAGGAAGAGAGTGAGCAGGAGGTGGAGGGGAAGTGTTTTATTCCCTATATCTGAAAGCTTTTCTTGCTGGCAGACTAGCTTCTGACCTTTTCCCTCACAGACAATGAATGTGCTTTATTTTCTCTGCTCCAGCCCTGTCCCTCCAGGCCGTGTGTGTGTCTGGTCTGTGTGTGTGGGTGTGTGTGTGTGTCTGTGTGTGTGTCTGTGTGTTTTTGTCTGTGTGTGCACAATGCATGCACATGTTTTGTGTTGGTTTTTAATGCATGCGTGTCTGTTTGTAGTTGATTGTACGCATGCATGCACATACTTGTGGCCAGCAGGCTATCTTTCCATTTGCTGTACTCGTTTGAAATAAAATGGTAGATTTTCATTGCTTCGCCACAAAGTTTAGACAGCATTCAGTTCATAATCTTATCTATTTCTATTTTTAACTTTGTTAAATTTGTGTGCATGTCCTCAGGGGAATCTGGTCTTGGGAAATCAACTCTCATCAACTCTCTGTTCCTGACCGACCTGTACTCCAAGGACTACCCTGGGCCCTCCCAGCGCATCAAGAAGACAGTGCAGGTGAGCTTATTCAGCTTCGAGGCCAACCCATTTGGCATCACGTCGGATTTTCAAGTGTAGTTCTTGTATCATGATAAAGGTTGAGCTGTAAGTAGGTCAGATGTTCAGATATTATACTAGACACGCTTATCTACCCTACCTCCTCCAGGGAAACTGATGCAACAGCTGTAACAATAGTTAGTAACACAGTACAGTAACATTGATTCAGTAGCTAAGTAGTTGTTGATGCACTGATGACCTCACAGCAATACAAATGGATCTAGTGTTGTTCTTATTTACTCAGCTGGATCCCCTGGTTGAAAATAGGGCTGCGCAAACGAAATATTATCAAAAACACAATATAGCCAAGTGCAATATACAAATCGCAGAAGCTGCAATTTCTTTGGTAAAACTGTGTGACAAACAGTGTTACAGTGATGTACTGTAGTGCTGCAGAGATGCCCTCGTCTACAACTCTTGTTCTCCAGGTGTAAGAAAACATGTTTACAGACCCCATCATGATCCTAATAGTTTTTTCAGAGAAAATTACATTTGTGATGCAGAAATGATAATTCCAAAACTAATCATGAATCATATCGTAATATATGTCAACCAAATCTAGTTGGAAAACAGCCAAGCCAATCAGAGTTTGGTAGGCAGGATTAAGAGAATGTCATCTCCTTCTTCCATCTTTGTGGCTGTTGAGATGCAGCCCTACATGTTGTAAACTGACTTACAGAAATAACAACTCTCAAATAACCATATTTCTTTGATTGTTGTGAGGAAACAAACTGCTACTGCTGCTTGTGTGTAAACTGAAACTGAAACGCTGGCGGGATGGATACTTGACTCACAGCTGATGGCTTAGGTCAAAACATGACTGTACATTCTGATTATCATCAGGCTGATAATGGCCTGCTGCCCAGTGCTGAGCGGGAAGCACTGTTCTGAAGAGATACCTACTGCCCACACACACACCATCTTGCCACGCCTCTTTCTGCTTCTCTCTTCCTGTATCGTACTCACAGGCTGCATGTGTCTGCTCTCTTGACTTTCTTTGTCAGCAATATGATTTAAATGTAATTTGCGTTTTTGCATTCCATTTTCACAAGAGCAGGTGACCTGTGTGTGGAGGTTTCTCTGCAGAGCATGTGCAATCTTCAGCAGATATTAGCGAGGGGAGACTGTCCACTAGTTAATCAATCATGGATGGGGTCGGATAAATAAAAAGATACAATACAAAGTCATGCTCAGCACCCTGTATGTAAATCATCTGCACGGAGGTAAAAGACCTCTATTTCCACGTGTCCTTTCTTGGGAAAAGTGCTAAACGCACTATAATCTGCTCTCCAGACGATCCCAACCCTAACCACAACCACAAAAATGATCAGTTATGAGATATCTGCAAAGATTTGAGTATGATGCATTCCTGGATATTAAATGTCTGGTCTTTGAATGCGTAAAACAAAGGACTCTTCAGATGCCACCTTTGTCTGAACCTTGCCTGTGGATCAGATAACAAAAGGTTGGGTCAGGTTTGAGGGGTGAAAAAGTCAAAGACAAGCTATCTCTGGCCGCTCTGTCTCCATAACATTACCAACATCCCTGCTGCTTTCAGTAGCTCCTCATATAGCTGTTTACATCTTCAGCACACGAAGATTCTCAGGATACACAGCCACATTGGTTGAACCAGTCCTAGTTGCCATGCTGCCTCTGAAGGTAAAAGGCTAAAGCACGTAGAGGAGAATGGAGAGTGGGAGTATTCTGGAACGGAGGAAGAGAGAAGGATGGATGTATCGTGGAAAAGGAGAGCAAAGAACAAGGATAGAAGAACTAAAAGGGAAACAGCAAGGCCACAAGGCCTGCTTTTGTCCTTTTATGGTCATGACAAACTGAGGAGGAGGAGGAGGAGGGAGGCTGCATCTGGAGCAGTGGGGAGCAGAGGACCGAAGGAGGGAGTGGTAGCAGTTTGGGAAAAGGGAGGATGGTTACGAAGAAAGAGGAGGGTGGAAAGAAGACAATGATGGTGAGGTGGAAGGGAAGGGTTGTGGACGGAGAAGCGATGCAGCCAGGAGGAAAGAGGAGGGATGCAGGTAGCTGTGGAATGGGGACAGAGAATCAGTGTGAGGGAGGGGGAGGGAGAGACAGAGCAGGGTGAAGCTAAAGAGTGTATCCAAGGACCGAGGCAGTGATGGGTTGGTAAAAGGTGACAGGGGAGAGACAAAGAAAAACAGGGAATTGGGTGAGAGTCCTTGTACTCCCCCTGGGGCCTGAAAGGGTCAGTAGCAGGGCAAGAATGTTCCCATGAAATGTAACACCCACCCCCTCACACATACCCCCACCACACACACACACAC